CGATGTAATCAGGGTAATCGATCATTTTGATATAATACTTGGCCTAGTAATATAATCGATATAATCAGGGTAATCGATCATTTTGATATAATACTTGGCCTAGTAATTATAATCGATATAATCAGGGTAATTGATCATTTATAAAAAATTTTTTCCATATAGATTGGATAAAATTCCAGCTATTTGAGGCTTTTTAGAAGAAGCCATTGTCGAAATGATTCGTTTTGGCTCATCATCACAAATCATTTAGTCTTGAAGTATTACTATCTTCTTAACTTACTTAAAATTTCCAGAAATTTGTTGCTTTATTAATTGCATGTAAGTAATACTACAGTAGTACTATATGCAACCAATATTATAGTAGTCAATATTACAGTAATACTATTGGGTATCAAATGACAGTGATTGAATTATTTCAAGAAAAAAGTATTGTGACAAATTTTTATAATACATTTTGTCCTTTTTATATTTTTTCTTTTATATTTTTTTACCCTTTTATATATTAGCCTCAATAATGATAAAGGGAATTTATGGATAATTATAAACTTTGAAAATTAGTAATTGAGGTGGGGAGATAGCTGATCTCATTAATTTGGGGGCGATAGCTGATCTCATTAATTTGCAAATGATTTTAGAAATCGTTAATTAATGGTAATAAAATGAAATTAAAAAAAAAGAAAGGATTTGATGAATTTCTTACCAAGTACCATAACCAGTTCAATAGTTTCTTTAACCCTTTCAATTGAATTGTCCAACTCCGCAATTACTAATATTTTAATAACCATATTTCGATATGTTGCTTTTGCAAGTGTAATAGCTTGGATCATTTTCCTCAAAAATGTCTCCGGTGATAATTCTTTGCTTAAACATGGCTTTACACGAAATTCCAAATAAAATACATTATCAGCATGATAACGATCGATAATATCTCGCGTTATCTGAATTAGTAACAATTTTTTTAAAATAAAATTCAAAAAAAAAAATTTTGAAATTTGATTTGTTTTTTGTTTTTTTTTTTTGTACAAATATTTTATTTTATAAATTAAAAATTTGTTATATCTTTTTTAAATCCTATTTTAAGCATATTCTTAATTGATAAAGTAAAGAAATTGATAATGATAAAATAAGTTATTCACCATAAATACATCTTCTTGTAGCAGAATCATATCATGTACCATCGACATCGATTGCATCGCTCTATCAAACAGATAAATTTGCAATCAAATTTTATGAAAATTACTGTTTAAAACTAAATTACAATTTATCAAATAAAATAATTCTTGAAAATAATTTACCTAAATTAACACAAATCATACGGTAGCAATTAATGCGATTAAGCTTCAATCAAGCTCCAATCAAGTTTCATTTAATGCAAAAAGAACTTTTAAGCTTCTTCCATTTGGAATGAATTTTTTAACTCCTCCAGGGATACACTTATTGAATTCATTGATAGAACTATTGCCTGTTGATGTATTAACCATTTCTTCTTTCATCAAAGTATAAATGACCATTAATGGTCACATTACATTTATGCATTTACTTAAATAAATGTTAACATACTTACTCTTTCATATCTCTTGGCTCTCCATACGCCCAAAGTAATTTTCGCTGTTGAACTGTCAATTCAGGTTCACCTAAAGTACGTCGATGTTCTTCCAACGTACGTAATAGCATTGACTTTTTAATGCAAGCTTCCCAGCGTGCATTGAATTCCTAGAATTAAATGTACGACTAAATTACGACTTAAATTTAAACTAAATAGCAAAAGTTAGCAAACGAAATAATTTCGATATTATTCGGCGCAAATAGCTTAATGTAATATGTAATGCGCTGTTAGTCTATTATCAGAAAGGATAAGAATATTCAAATTTGTGTGGTTTTGGGAAAGTCGAACAAACTATTTAATACTCTTTCGTGAATTTCGAATTAATTTATTACTCATAAATTTTGTTTTTTTTTGAAAATTTTTGACCAATTTTTTTTTTAATTTCAGATCGAATGAAAAGTTTTTTTTTTTTGGGAAATAAGCCGAAAAATACTTACACATTTGGGCATTTTTTTGCAAAATAATTTCAAATCAAGCATTTCTGTCTTCTATCAATTCTTTTTGATAGCCTAAAATAGCCACATTATTGTTTTATTTCTCAACTAGTTATTTAAAAAAAAAAAAAAAGAAGAAGCTTTCCAATTATTTATAATAAAGAAAAAAAAGATTAGATATCAAATTAATTATTCTAATTAGAATATTGATTAGATTATGCTTAGCAAAAGTAAGAAAGGAAGCTTTCCAATTATTTATAACAAAGAAAAAAAAGATTTGATATTAAATTAATTATCCTAATTAGAATATCGATTAAATTATGCTTAGCAAAAGCAAAAAAGGAAAAAAGGAAAAATGAAAATGTTAAAATAGTTAAAAATCCGAAATGATGCAATGATCCTTGAAATATTTTATGTTAGCTATAATTTAAATGTTAACTTTTCAAGCAAAATTCCTAATTCCTAACCAAGATTCTTCCCGAGAGATTTGCAGATATATGAGAATAAAAAATAATACATTACAAAATATTTACCTTTTGCACCGCCAAAAAATCATCTTATAATCGATCTACCAATCTTGTCATTAATCTAAAGAAATCATACTAAAAAAAAAAAAAAAAAAAAAAAGAA